GGCTCACAGTTACGTGAAGCTCTGTGTTCAGCTCTCTGTGACTACCTCACCTGGAAAGCTGGGCTGCATCTATCACAGTGAAGGAGCCAAGTCTGACTTGGCGTTGCAGGAGAACTGGCAGCCTGCTCACTTGAAATCCATTCAGCAACCCTGCAAACTGATTTCCATAACACATGCATATATATTAAACCAAAAGACTAACCAAGCAGTTCTGCCAGAAATGCTTATGTTTTACTTGCAAGTGTCAAGATGGGTGTTGCAATGTGAGTAGTTTTGTTCATGACTTTTGAGAGCTTGCCAGATCTGGAATGACAACCGCTCTTGTTCTCCCCTTCCTTTAAGCGTCTCTACTCCATGCTATGGTACAAACCCCTCCTGAGACAAGGGATGGAGGAAAAGCTGCAGAGAAACTTCCCCAGCTCTGGAGTCCACTGCTGAGCACTGGGATCTGGTACATGTCCCCATGCTCCTCACCACGACTGGTGGGAAGTCCATCAGCAACAGCTGCCTCGGCTCCAGCTCAGAGGCAGGAGAAGCTTATGAGTGAAAGGGAAAAAAGGGGATTGTTCCCAGCAAGGGGGTTAATGTTACCTTTAAAATTAGGGAGCTGATCCACAAAAATCTCTCCTAAGAAGCTTTTAACATTCCCATACCCTTAGTATTTTCCTTGCAAGGACATGGAAGGCGAAGCATTTCCATCTTGATGCCTCAAGGCACTATGTCCATCATACAGCCCTGAATGTGACCCTGGTGTCACAGCAAGACTTTGAACTTTGCCCTTTCCTTAACATAACCAAAACGATCACTAAGAGCTGGAGCAGATGGGACAATGCTCCAGGGAACGATGCAAAGGCATTATTGTACTTCCAGCATTTTTGCCACTCAAGGCAGAATCACTCTGCTTCCACTTCCAAAATATGAGTAAGATGGGCTCGTGGGAAGAGGAATGACAAAACAAACAGAGCAGGGACGAGGACTGACAAAACGAACGGAGCAATCCCAATATTAAACTCCTCGTTTTCTGTCATCCTTTCAGGAGAAACTACTGCAAAGCCTGAAGAGGATCCAACCCTTCCTACCACCATCAGTGTGGCAAAAGTCTCCATTTCCAACCAAAGAGAGGGACTGACACAAGAGAATAACAGCACAGGGTGCCCAGAGAAGCTGTGGCTGCCCCATCCCTGGCAGTGTTCAAGGCCAGCTTGGACACAGGGGCTTGGAGCAAGCTGCTCCAGTGGAAGGTGTCCCTGCCCGTGGCAGGGGTTGGAGCTGGATGAGCTTTAAGGTCCCTTCCAACACAAACCAGTCTGATTATATAAATCATGGAGCACTTTGAACTCTTCCCTAAGAATACAACAAAGTAATGCTCTTTTCCAGCATGGGTGGGGCTTCTCCTGGGCAGTCATTACTTATTTCTAAAATGAATTAGTTGCTCATCTCTGACAAGAGCTAAAAGCAACCCTTTGCCCCCAAGAAGTTCCTGCATGAAGAACGGGCAGGAAAATACAACCCTGAGTAATCCAGAGGAGGAAAAGCAACTGTTCACCTTTCATTTCTGTCAGCAGAAAGACACCACTGCTGAGTTTGGGGATAAGTGACATTTGCAGAAGGCATGGAGTGGGTGAGAGGGGCGTTGTGCTTCCCACTGGCATTCTGGAGCCTGCACCAACCTTTACTTCAGCCTGTTGAGAGTGTTCTTACTCTCCTATCATAACAGTCTGCATTTCTGTAGCACAATGACCACAGCACAACCCGCTCTGCTCAGTGCAAGCAGAGGTGGAACATCTGCACACAGCTTTATCTGGCTCCTCACACGTTTCATACATCTCCTACAATATTCCTGACAACTGCAGTTGCCCATCACTGTCAACACTTTCTTCTCTGCTTCAATTCTGACTCCAGTCTTAATGCAACTGTAAAACACACATGGCCAAGAAATACTTCTCCAATGAGACTCAGCTGTGGGTCAGTCTTTCTTTCCTTCACTTCCTCGGGCTCTTTTTAGCTCAGCTGGTTGAACAAAACCTGTTTTAATTAGGCCATCAGCAATTCCTTTTTATTCCACACCTACTGGTACAGGCATATGCTGCTCTTTCCCTTCCCCCTGCATCAAAGGACATTCCACTTCAGTTCTTTTCCTTCTTTTCTTTCTTAGATTAGATTTTGGAGAGCTTTTGGCTTATCTAGGGGAAAGGTTTTCCTAAACTGTCCCCAAGAATGTGGCCCCAGACATTCAGATTAGGCAGCTCAATTATTTTAACTGGCTATTTTTACTACTGTCTATCAAGACATTCAGTGTATTCGCTCCGTTTAAGAGCTCAGCATCTTCAAAGCCTCTTATGAACAGCAAATTCGCATGATCTCTCAAAAGCAAGTGAGCTGTGATTTGAGTTCCTGAATGAGGCGATCACACACGGAACAAAGAGCTAAACACTGTTATTTTAATGGATTTGCAATTCCCTTGCCAGGTCAGTAATCCTTTTTGTCCCAGTGTCACTCAGAGACTTCAAACCCCACAGCTGGGATGGAATAGTCAGTGTTTGTTTTATCTAGCAGGACATCATACGGCACGGTTCCTCCTCAGCAAATCAATTTATCTGCTGCTGACAGCAAGTATTCATCAGCGGTGATGCTGAGCTGTACTGCTCAGGAGGTTACTAAGAGTGCACTAAGCACACGACTTCCAGCTATCAATGTGACAAAACAGCCTCAATCATTTTATTCACCTTTATTTCCCTTCCTGAGGCTTGATAATCCATCAAACTGACTGATGTAGCGTGTGCGTTACTGTTTGTAGTGTGCACGTTACTGTTTGTAGCATGCTGCACAGCAGGGCTGATGCAGTAAAACCAGAACTGTTTACGATAAAGAACCATCAGGACCAACAGAGCTCAAAAAAAAGCCAACATGAAAACCATCAAACCAACAAAAAAAACCCCTCCTATACTGTCAGGTATTCACAGAAGCTGGGTGGTTTGGGTTGGAAGGGACCTTAGAGCTCATCCCGTTCCAAACCCCATCTCCCTTCCCCTAGTTCCAGCATCAGGACCTTTATCTGCATGGATCATTTTCAACAGGCAGGGAAAGGGATGCAGGCAGATGAGATGCTGGTCTCCACGGAACCCAACAGGGCCAACGGCGAAGCTGGGAATAGACCCAAGGTCTCCAACTGCTGAATCGAGCCCTGCTGCTGCTCTGACTCATCCCAGCAACTGTTTGCTAAACACTATGGAGCCTCTCAGAAGTTCTGTATGCTGTGTCAGCTATTCGGGTAGAAGAAGCAATTCCAAGTACTCTAAGGTCACTCCTCAGCCTTGGCATTGATCTTTTCAGGAAGGCCTGATGTCTGGAAGCCAGTGACAGTTATTTCTGGAATGTGCCTCCATTTACTGGGAGATTAACAGTCACAGCAAAGGTCTGTAATCCTGCTGCTGGCACAAGACGTAGGACATCTTCCTAACTCATTTGTTAGGTTCTGACAGCAAAACACAGGATTTGCTTTGCAGAAGAAGTCTGGCATGGGGATGAGCAGGGCTTTAAAACCCTTTCCTAAAGGAGTCTGCAGCCAAGGGATAACAACCTATTTTGACTCTCTTTTTTGCTCTAAACATTAGTTCTTGCTCTTTTCTCAAGTGACCAGTGGTGCAAAAAAGCTTCAGTGCATGACGTATGCAGTGGATGTGACACTGTTTGGAAGAGCCATATCCCTTACCTTTTTCAGGAGGAAACTGAAGCTAGAACTGTATCCATTTATCAATTCCCCATCCTGCAGGATTACTTAAGCACTCGGGAAGAAAGTTGAGACAGATGAGATATCTGAAGCAGAGACAGCACACTTTATGGCCTTTCTGGTAGTCTGCAGCTAAAGATTTGCACGGAATATGATGACTAATGTGTCCTGACCAAAACCAGACCTGGCCATTGCATTCCTTTCAAGAACTCCATGTAGAAAAGGAGAGTATCAAGCCTTAATATCTATTTTTGCAGACATCACACGCTCTCTGGCTTGCCATCTGTGTGCAGCAGAAAAGCAGATAAAACAAGACAGTATCTGGCACAAAGAGCCAAGCAAAACATGCCCTGGTAATAATTTAGAACAAAGACTTTGGCTGATATTTTCCTCTCCAAAGGGGGAGCAGGCAAAAGGAAAGCATTAACTGCTCACATCATCCCCAAAGGTGGAGGAGGAGCAAGCTCCTCGGATTTCAAAGCACCAGAATAGCACCTTCCCACCACCACCAAAGCAGGGTTAAATCGCAGTAATGCAATAAAATTCAAGCTGTAAATCTCACCTACTGTGACAGTGTTATATACAACCCACTCTTACAGAATCACAGAATGGTTTGGTTGGAAGAGACCTTAAAGCTCATCCAGTTCCAACCCCCTGCCATGGGCAGGGACACCTTCCACACCTCCACTGCTCCAAGCCCCATCCAACCTGGCCACAGCTTCTCTGGGCACCCTGTGCCAGCGCCTCAGCACCCTCACAGAGAAGAAATTCTGCCTTATCTCCAACCCGAACTTCCCCTGTTTCAGTTTGAACCCATCACCCCTTGTCCTATTGCTCCAGGCCCTATGAACAGTCCCTCTCCAGCAGCCTTGTAGCCCCCTTCAGATACTGGAAGGCTGCTCTGATGTCCCTACTCAGCTTCTCTTCTCCAGGCTGAACAGCCCCAGCTTTCTCAGCCTGTCTTTGTATGGGAGGTGCTCCAGTCCCTGAGCATCCTCGTGGCATCCTCTGGACAGGATTTGTATGGATAAAGTACGGGAAAGACAAACTCTCAAGGAAATAGATTTGACATAGTGGGAATTTCATTTTACAGAAAGGACTTTCCTAAGGGAATAAAACTTGTTCCGGAAGTTTTCCTCTAGACTCCCCAAGCAGGCATTTGAGCACACACATTTCCCAGCACATGGGGTGATGTACGGAAGGAGACCTTCCGACAGGTCCCATTAAAATGGCCACGTTCCCAAGCACCAAACCGATCCCATCCCCATACCTGTGACGCGAGTCTCCTCATGGCTTCCTCCTGGCGCCGGCGCATCTCGGGGGTCCCGGGGCAGCTCCCGCTGGTGATGGACGAGTGGGCAGAGGGTGGCTGGGTCAAGGGCAGCTCTCGGTTTGCATCCACATCTGTCCCAAGGAAAGAGGTGATGAATGGCTGCAGGGCAAGCCCGACCCACAGCTTCCCTATTCCAGCCCAGGCTGGTTTCCATGCATGGAAGGTATTTAAAGCTCTTTCCATAAACAGGATTTCAGGCAGCAGAAGACTGTGACACCGTCCAGAGGCTCCCTAAGAAACTTCCCCTGAAAGCAGCCCCTTTGGGAAGGACCGCTAAGATAAAGTGTGGAGCTCATCTTATTCATCTTCTCCAGCGTAATTTCATTGACTTTAATTACAGTAACTGAGTTGTGGGCTCTCAAAGGTATGCTCCATCTTCTCTAGGTTTGCTATGGGTTAGTGCAGTGCTCTCCCTCTCTGCAGCTCTGCCAACACATTCTCAACAAGTGATGGTTAATTTGGTTCCAAGTCCTTCAGTGGAGACAGCCAATTTTTCTGAATGATGTGTCTATTTTCTAACCTAAATAACTGGAGAGCCACAGCTCACACATCCATCTGAAGCCCATTAATGTACTCAGAGGGACAGAAGCAGGAGTAGCACCAGGATCTGGAAAAGGCTTGCAAGCCCATGAATTATACTGGCATCACCTCTGCCAAGTTTAACAGCTTTCTATTGCATTTTAGCTGTTGCTTTTTGCCTGGCAAAGCAGTAGCTGGCTTTACCAGCAGATTGCTACAACAGGCCATTCACCTGGCCTTTGTGGGTCACTCAAAACCACTCAAAACAATAGTTTTCAATGACAGCACTCGGTGATGTCTAATTACTGAGTCCTCCCAAGTGCAGCCTGCACTAGCAAAGGATTTTCCTGAATGGATCACTGCAATGCATTCCTGAGCTTGACTTGAAATCGTAATGCAAACAACGACCCATTTAATGGCAAACAGAGGAGGATGACTACTGCCTACATAATTAAACCCTGAAGGTGTGAGTAATGAGGCACATTCTAGTTTCTGAGCATGCAACACCACCTTTACCTATATTTCTAAGACAAGAAGTAAGAGGCTGTATTTATGCCAGTTTACTAATGCTGACAGCACAAGTGCTGAAATAGTCAGGTCTCCTGATGAAGCATTTACTATTAAACATAGATTTCACTAAGCATAATAGATGAAGAAAAGAATCAAAGGGACTTGTAGTACAACTGCTATCTTCTACAGCTAGGCTGAGACTTGTGATCTCTTTAGGAAATAAAACCAAATTAGATGACTGATTCTGAACGTCTCCAACCCAATAACTAACACTGAGGAATCATTCAGCTTTCAACTTCACAGGGAAACCAGAGGGTGAACTGAGCAACCGTGTGTTAACCATGACCAAGGATCTTTGTCCTTTGTGCATGAAAGATGCAGGGCACCTTCTCTGAAACAGCCCAGAACCAGTTAAGTACAGCTGTCTCTTTAATCTCCGCAATCCCTCGGAGCAGACTGAGATGTGCAGTTGGTGCGCTGCAGAGCTGCAGTTAAAATACAGAAACAAGCCCTGCTTTTCACTGTGCACTGGTCATTTAGCTCTGACAAGTGACATTATTCAGCACACCGACATTTGGTGACATTTCAGATACTTCAACGTGGCTAACACTGCTTCATTCCAGTAAGCAGATTTCACTGCAGCTTCCCTGAGATACAGTGACCTACATCCTTAGAGACACCTTTAGGTACCTAACCCAGTATCTTCAATCCTGTCTTACTCACTTACTGAGAGCTGAGTGATTTCCAAACGTTGTCATCTCCACCCGCAAACAGGTCAGGGCAGAGTGATGTGAACTGATGGGACCACAGGAGGTGTGGCAAGCCTTGGTGAGGAGCCTGCATGGGCTTGCAACCCAGCCTCAGCATTTATACCATGATAAACTGACCTAAGCACTATGGGTGGGAGAATGCACTGGCATGGATTTGTGACAACGAAATATGGGCAATTAAAATTGGAATCTTCCCAAGAGAAAAACTGTGATGTTCCTAAGTCAGAGAAATAAAGAGACAGACCACTGTGACCTGAAATTGGAATAGAAACAGAATAAATGCTGCCGATGGGTGCTCCCTCTGCTTGGCAACAAGGACCAAGCTGATTCCTTGGGCCTGAAGAAACGGGATCTATTCAACCAACAGCCATTCCAAACCTATGGAAAAGCTCTCTGATTCTGGAAAGCCTGCGGCCTGCTGCACTTACGCTTCGGGGAGGCATGGGGGCTATCAGAAGCGATCTGCCTCATCCGTGTGCCGTGGCAGCTGAGCGCCACCAGCCTGGAGATGATGGCGGTTTTCCCAAAGCCGATATTCCCCACGATGACGACGCCTCGGTTGACGCTGGCGTTTGAGCTCTGGAGCTGGGCATCTATCTCATGGAACACCCAGTCCCGGCCAACAAAGACGGACTCGGTGGTGATGCTGGGCACCTCGAAGAGCAGTGGCTTCAGAGAGATGTCGGGAGGTCTGTAGGGTGCAAAGCGCACTATAAAGAGAAACACAGGGAAAGAACATAAATATCACTGCTGGCACTAAGAAGATAGCTCAGGAATTGCAGTTTCATCTTCCTCAGGAATCTATTAATGAAAAGATTAAAGGTGAAAAGAACAAAATCTTGTTTATGACCCGCAACTTTGTTTGTAAAAGCATCTGGCTCATTCACAGCATTTGCCACTGAAGAGAAGGGGTTTATAGCAGGAGAAATGACATTTCTGGCTTAAAGTCACCATAATCCAAGGCCCTGCCACAGGCAGGAGGGTTCACTGCCCAAAGCACCCTGTGAGAGGGTGTTGTATGCCTGTTTAATAGATGTATAGATGAAAAGGCTCCTTAAAGGGAGACCTTAGAGCAGCTCCAGGGCCTAAAGGGGCTACAGGAAACCTGGGGAGGGGCCTGGGACAAGGGATATAGGGACAGGCCAAGGGGAATGGCTTTAACCTGCCCGAGGGGAGACTGAGATGAGCTCTTAGGCAGAAGCTCTTCCCTGTGAGGGTGCTGAGGCGCTGGCACAGGGTGCCCAGAGAAGCTGTGGCTGCCCCATCCCTGGCAGTGTTCAAGGTCAGGTTGGACACAGGGGCTTGGAGCAAGCTGCTCCAGTGGAAGGTGTCCCTGCCTGTGGCAGGGGTTGGAGCTGGGTGAGCTTTAAGGCCCCTTCCAACCCATTCCGTGATAATAAAATTGTACAACAAAACCCAAACCAGTCTCGAAACGTTTTTGGGAACAGCTGGGGGTGGAAGGAGAGGGTATCTGCCATTCTTTCCATGTGGCACAAGCTATCTTGGGAATGCACACGTAAAAACTGTAACAACTATGCTCAGATCGGGTGCAAAGATGCTATTACAAAGATCAACTCATATGGCATGTTCCGATTAAGAGATCCTTAATTGGGAGATGATCTGCATAAATCTATTAAAACCACTTGGTGATGGAAGCACTTCGTGCTGGCAGAGACAGTTGCTGGATCTTCCCACTTCACCACCAAAATGGTTTGTTAATTAAAGCCTTGCAGAAGGTGGCCACAATGACAGCAGGTGATTCCCACTCAGGGGGAGGTTTGTCACACTGCAGACTTCCACTTCTAGAATGCAACTCCTTCAAGGCAGGGCTGACGTGGATGGAGGGACACGATGTCAGCCCTGGATCTTCCAGCCGCAGTCCAAGTGTTGCACCTGATATTCAACACGTGGATTTGAGCTGATGGGGTGAGCTGGGGAACATCTGAGCTGTGGAACACAGAAGCTGAGTTCAGCTGGGGCTGAGATCAAACGGCATGCTGGGAATGAAAACCATCAGACAAAGCATAGATGTCTTCAGAGCACATTTTAAAAGCAATCCTAGGAAGCCCCAGAGGAGCAATTCCCTGAGCTGCGTCCCAGAGAGGGTGCCAGGATGAGCTCCCAGCACGCTCCTCCTGGACCTTCCAGGCACCCAGTTCCAACCCCTAAGACCTCATCTCAGTCTCCCCTCTGGCAGGTTAAAGCCATTCCCAACCTGGCCTTGGACACTTAAATCTGGCACAGACCTGACGAGGGAGCTGATCCATTACAGCAGAGCTGATAGAGGGGCTGGGAGTTAATGTTACATCAGGTAAGCCTAAGGAAAATAGCTTGTATTTAAATGTTAGGTATTTTGAATGTCCTTTCTTGATACAGAAACTGCTGCAGACAGGAGATGTATTTCTATTCCCACTTGAAAATGATGAATGTGATTTAAATGTATTGAGGGTGGAGAAGGCTTTTGAATCACGAGCTCCCAGGCAGCTTGATTTCCTTTGCTAGGCTCTGCCACGTGGGATGTGCTGGCATGGGAAGACCCTGGAGAAGCAACATCACTGATGGTGGGAGGGAATGAGGCAGGGGGGGCATGTGTGCCCATGTGCCCATCACAACTCCCGTCCCTGCACCAGTCTGGCTCTCAGCAACAGCAGGACTGATGGGCTTCCCACCAGAGGATGGCATATTGTACAAGCAATAGCACATGGACGTGGCCGAGGGAACCATCTGGAGTGGTCTGACTGATGTAAATTGAATGTTCCAGCAGTGCATTTGGCAAGGGGCGTTTTGTGTTTGCATTATACCACCAATACTATAGATAGAAAATTACATCACCAAAACACCCAAAATTAATCAAAAACTCCATTTGGAAAGCATCAAGCCAAGAGCTGTGCTCGACAAGCTACGGCTTTACTGTACTTCTGTGTGTACTCACATGCTATGGCGTGTTAGTGAGTTAAAATGTCCAGTAACGCTCTTCTGAAAGCCAGAAGTCTAACAGGTACCAAATGGCCTCAGGGGCTAATGCAGAGGCAAGAGTGATTACATTCAAAAGCAATGGGATCTAATAAGCTCCTGCTTAACATGGTGGAGACCTGGGCTAAAGCCTTGGTTTCTTTTCAGAGCTGCAGATGGCTTTGAAGCTGTGCGATCAAAACACACCGAACAGAGCATATCCTAAAGACTGGTCTTGCTCTGAGTGGATGCGAACGTACACGTCCTGGCTGTCACCCGGGAATAGCCTATTCTGTCCTAAAAAAGGCTCAGTGAAACCCTGAGAAGGGACATACCCACTTACCCACCTATCCCCAGCCTTCTTGAGCCTCTAGACCTTCCACTTGACCAAAGCCACTTGACCATAGCCAAGCAAACCTCTCCCGGCACCAATGCTGACATTTGCTTTTTGCAGTTAAAACCCCATGATGGCAATACTCAGGGTGCTCTAACACCAACAATAACTTGGTTGCCATCTGGCTCCTGCTCCACCACAGTACATCCCAGCCACCGTCCTGCCCTTCGGGGTACAGCAACTCTGAACAGCTTCAAATCCCGCTGGCTGAAAACAGCAAGGGCAGAAACTGCCTTCACTATCCTATTAAAAACCTGCCACTGGGATGAGAACCTGTCGTGCTCAGAGCTGTTGGGATTGCCCAATTACTCCCCTGGATAAAACAACTGCTGTGACAAGAACTAGGAGGGATGGTTTCCCATTTAGTTCCTCTGCACTGGGATTCTTGAACCCTGGGAACAAAGCACTGGGCTGTGATGCATCCCCCTTGATAGAGAGCCAGGAACTGCTTTGCTATTTCAGTGCCAAGAGGGTATTAAAGGTAAACCCAAGTTTAGGATTTCCAGTTGCAACAAAGAGCTGGTGATTAGAACAGCCCAGATAATGCAATTTCACAGTAATATCTGGAACATGTAGTATTTTGGGGGAACACCCCCCTTATATATTCAATGAAGGGAAGATATTTCCAAGCAGTGGTGGTTTGGTTTCTTCACAGCCTCTCCTTTTAAAAATAGCACAGAACCTCAACTGGGATCCGAAGCAAATCCCCCCCAGTTGAAGCACTGCTGCTGTTCTCATGCAACCTTCACAAAAAGGGGGAAACCAGACAAAAGCGAACAAAAAAAAGAAAGCAGAGATGTGGTGTTCCATGGTTTTACAAAGTGTGTCTGGAAAACAATTTGATTCTGTTCCTACAATAAAGTTTAATGTTTTGGATGCAATCACTGTAAATTACGAAGCCTTGGCAAGCTGCTCCCTTGGAACATATGGAAATCTTGTCTGTCAAACTTTGCTTTCTTCTCTTCCTGCCTGTTAATCCATTTTTATAACTGCCTCACCAGCCAATATGATTTCATTTTGGACTGTGATCCAGTCATGCATTTGGGAGAAATCCCAACCTGGCTGGAACAGGTCGTGCTTGTGGTGCTGACTGAAAACCCACCTTGTACCCTCCGAGATCCTCCTGGTACCTCTTCTGAGCTGTTGATCTGCATTGATGGGGTCCTCTCTCAGTCTGCTCTTCTCTAACCAGGCCCAGCTCCAGCAATCTCTGCTCCAAACCCCTGAGCATCCATGTGGCCTCCACTGGACCCTCTCCAGTAGCTCCTTGTCTTTCTTGTGCTGAGGAGCCCAGCACTGGACACAGGACTCCACATGTGGCCTCACAAGGGTCAAGTAGAGGGGGAGGAATCACATCCCTCAACCTGCTGCTACGCTCCTGATGCACCCCAGGGCGCTCTTGTCCCTCCTGGCCACATGGGCACATTGCCTATTCATAGTCAACTCATCACCCCCCCAACACTCCCAGGCCCTCCTCAGCTGAACTGCTCTCTAGTAGGTCACCTGCAACCTGTGCTGGTACTTGAGGTCCTTCCTCCCCAGGGACAGGACCCTACCCCTGCCCTTGTTGAATCTCATTAGGTTTCTCTCCACCCAGTTCTCCAGCTTCAGGTGTTATCAGTCACTGCCCACCTTCACGAGGACATGGGTGAAGCGGCTGCAGTACAAAGTCCTAGCCCAGAGACCCCCCATGAACACAAGCCCCCGCATGCTCCTACCTCTCAGGTCCTGCTGTGCGCGGGCACCGGCCATGCTCTGCCGCGGCATCCGCAGGGAGGTCCGCAGGGGAGTGTGCCTCTGCTCATCCAGGTAAGCGAGATCTTCTAAGTGAGCTGAGCTGGTGGCTGCCATGAGAGAGCAAAGAACCACGTCACCCCTGGCTTCTGGATCTCAGGCTCTGCTATTGCAGTTCTCATTTCTTAAGTACACACAGTTGTAACCACAGGGAGTCAATACAGCAGAAATGAACCAAGCCTAATGCCCCCAGAAAGGAACAAAAAGGTGTTTTGGTAACTTCTTCTGATGCCCACTGGTATTTGCTCTGGTTTGGTCTCCTCTTGATGTGAACGAATTAAAGAGACCCATGGAAAATGGAGACACAGAATCTTTTATATCTGCTATAAGGATGGTGGAGAGGGACTCTTCATCAGGGACTGGAGGGACAGGACAAAGGGTGATGGGTTCAAACTGAAACAGGGGAAATTCAGGTTAGATCTAAGGCAGAAGCTCTTCCCTCTGAGGGTGCTGAGGCGCTGGCACAGGGTGCCCAAAGAAGCTGTGGCTGCCCCATCCCTGGCAGTGTTCAAGGCCAGGTTGGACACAGGGGCTTGGAGCAAGCTGCTCCAGTGGAAGGTGCCCCTGCCTGTGGCAGGGGTTGGAGCTGGGTGAGATTTAAGGTCCCTCTGAACCCAAACAATGCCACGACTCCATGATCTAAGTTTTCCCAATCACAAAGTCAATGGCATGGACGCAAAGCTTGACAGTTCACATTCCTACTACATGCTGCAGGGCAGAGCTCCAAGCAGTGATCCCCATGGCAGATACAGGAAATTAGCCTGAGTTTGAAGGTACTTCTCTCCAAATCCCATTGGCCTCAAGCACCCTTTTCAGCCAAATAATGTACAGAATGTTGGAAATGGAGGAATGAAAGCTCCACTGCTTGAAATGATCTTCCCAATTATCAACAGCAAATGTCAAAATAGTCTGCACATCACCAGCTCTGGTCTCACTCTGATAACCAGTTCCAAACCTCACATTAACCATTCACCAATGGAAATCACGCTGCTCAGTGCTCTGCATCTGATCCTGCTCCTTTAGCTTTAGTTTTTGTTCTATCACCGTAACAAGATGATTATTTTAAATGGAACTGATCCATTAAATAACTTCTTCAAAGACTTCCTGTCAAGCTGGCATTGATTCCTCACTATGAAATGGGTAAGCTCTTTGATACAGCTCTCTAGAGTAGCTCACGGCACTGGACTCTGAATCCTTCCTCCCTGCCACCCAACATGAGATGGAACAACCACCAAAACAGAAAAGCAGAACATGCCAAAAGTGAGACTCGTTTTGCTCACACAGCACTCAATGGCCATGCAAAAACCTCTTCTAGATCGTGATGCAAGCAGAGACTAAGCAAGACTCAGACTATAACAAGGGGTGGTGAGAAAGGGCTTAAACTAGGCAGCAATTTTTATGCTGTTCTTCAAATTGCTTGAAAACTCTATGTAAGTGTTAAGAGACACAGAGAGAGAGGGGACAAAAAGTAAACAACAGGAGCAGGAATAAAAGAGGAGATAAGCCCATCAATGTCTGGTTTTAGACGTCCTTCACGCTCTTCTTCTCTTGTAAAACTGATGAGATGCTCCCTGTGACGGAGCAGATTAGAGCTGAAATGCTTTAATTAGAAAGATGTGGCTTTACCGTGGATAGAAGTTATGCTCTGTATTGCTGAAGCCACTGCAACCTGCTCCCAGCATCTCACAGAATCACGGCATCCCAGGTTGGGAGGGATGTCAAGGATCATCTGCTCCAACCCCGCTAGGCAAAGCATGATCTAGACTAGATGTCCCAGCACCCTGTCCATCCCAATCTTAAAGGTGTCCAATGTCAGGAAATCCACCACTTCCCTGGGGACATTATAACGGTGTCTGGTTCTTCTCCTCGGGAATAATTCTCTTGTGTCCAGCTGGAATCTCCCCCGGAATAACTTGCGCCCATCACTCCTCATCTTCCCCATGTGCCTCCTTGTACAAAGGGAATCTCTATCTTCTTTGTACCACCCTTTAAATACTGGATCCTAGTGACAAGGTCTCCCCTGAGCCTTCTCTTCTCCAGGCTGAACAGCCTCAGCTTTCCCAGCCTTCCCTCACACAGCTTCCCAGTCCTTGGATCAGATTTGTGGCCCTCCTCTGAACCCTCTCCAGTCCTTAACAGCTAATTCCTTTTTCACAGTATTGTAGAACCATGGAAGGGACCTTAAAGCTCACCCAGTTCCATCCCCACCCTGCCACGGGCAGGGACACCTTCCATTAGACCCGTTTGTCTGGGAAAAAAGGTAAGAGAAACCAGAACTCCCCGTTTTGGACTTAGTGCTAAATATATACGCTTATGAGTGTGCGTGTGGGGGTATATCCATAGATATAGATCTATATATATCTATCAGCTGCTAAAGGACATTTCCTCCCCCTAAATTCCATATTCAGTCCTCCTCCTGTCCCATTTTAATTCTATGAGCAGCTATAGAGCCATCAAGGATGACCAACAACATTCATCTTGCTGGTAATCTGATTTCTTTAGGTAAGATGATTCAAAGGAGCAACAACCTGATAAAAGCTTGTTTTTCCTAATGCCAGTTAAAACCAGGAAGTGACTCCTCACCAGTTATTCATCAACCAGAAACTGAAATAACTTTATCTGGGGGTGATTAGTCTTTGAGAACCAATTTTGCAATATGATTATTAGAAATTCCTTTCTGACTTGCATTCTGCAGCAAAACACCCTCATACAACCCAACCCTGGGCACACAGAAAACACTGCACTAGGAACATGCTGCATGCCCAAGAAGTGAGACCTTGAAGAACTGTGTGGGTTCTGCTGTTCCCAGTACAAGAACGACATGGAGCTGTTGGAGCAAGTCCAGAGGGAACATGAGGATGATCAGGGGCTGGAGCACCTCCCATATTGAAGACAGGCTGAGAAAGTTGGGGCTGTTCAGCCTGGAGAAGAGAAGCTGAGTGGAGACCTCAGAGCAGCTTCCAGTGTCTGAAGGGGGCTACAAGGATGGTGGAGAGGGACTCTTCATCAGGGACTGGTGCAACAGAACAAGGGGTGATGGGCTCAAACTGAAACAGGGGAAGTTCAGGTTGGAGATAAGGCAGAAGCTCTTCCCTGGGAGGGTGCTGAGGCGCTGGCACAGGGTGCCCAGAGAAGCTGTGGCTGCCCCATCCCTGGCAGTGTTCAAGGCCAGGTTGGACACAGGCACTTGGAGCAAGCTGTTCCAGTGGAAGGTGTCCCTGCCCGTGGCAGGGGTTGGAGCTGGAGGAGCTTTAAGGCCCCTTCCAACACAAACCAGTCTGGGATTCTAAGAGCCCAGCAGTTTTGCAGGGGTGGATGTTGTGCGCTGCTGACCAGCGCCCTGATTTACTGTCGGTCCTAGGAGAAATGAGGAGTTATTCCTCATCAGCCGAAATCCAGGCTCTCTTCCCACCTTCCATCACCATAATCCTCTTCAGCCACAACAAAGACGTGATGAACTGCAGTCAGCAGGAGCTGCCAGATCCATTGCACACTTTGCCAGGGGTTATTTTTGCAACTGGCAGTGCACCCGTTCTGCCGTTCCTCAGGCTGATGACCTGAGATTTATCTTTGTGACTTAGAGCTGAGGAGTAATTAAAGAGATCGAAGGCCAGAGGAGCTCACAAGTAATTTGTCCCGAGAATATGCTTTGGTTCTTCAAAAATTACGCAAGATCCATTTATCTTAGCAAGTATCATATTAAACTGTTGAAAGCTTCCTCTCAGTTCTGAACCTCATCCTACAGAGTAGCATGCAGAAACTGCAGATAAAGCACAATGGAAAAGGAGCACCTCCTCAAAAATAAGCTCTGCATACCACAGATGCAATTCTCCAAAGGAAATGGAAAACAAATAGCGGAAGATAATTCAATTTCCATGTACTATTTGAACAACAAGCACAAATCTACCTGACCCAAAACTGATATCTGGCAGCCCAGGGAGGGACTTTGCAGACTGGGTCTTCTGGGGGAAAGGGGGGGTCACTGCTCATATTTGAGTCAATCAGCTTGTCATTGCTGATGCATGGATCAGATTGGCATAGGATCATAGAACAGAATCCCAGACTGGTTTGGCTTGGAAGGGACCTTAAAGCTCATCCAGTTCCAACCCGCTGCCATGGGCAGGGACACTTTTCATTAGACCAGGTTGTTCCAAGCCCCTCCAACCTGGCCCTTGTCAAAAGCCTCTCTCCAATTGATTGTGTTTTTACAAGGTATCGTACATGTACCCCAAATTCAGATTCCTTAGAGCTGTATTATTAAATATGCTTCAGATTTAGTGACTTTATATTTGGCTGGGTATCTGGTCTATCTTGACCAGGTATGTGGGTATCTTGATATCCAGATAACTTGATATGGTTTGATCAAACACAAATAGGGCAATGCCAAGGTTTTGGGGGTTTTACCCAAAGCATCTTCATCTTTCTCCTTGGAATAATTCCTATGAAGAGCTGCATCTAATTCAGAGTTGAACCATACCCCATAATGAATTAAAGAAAGGAAAAAGGTGCAGGTATCTGTTTCATGACCATGCAGCTCCTATTGCAGGGCTCTGCAGACAGGCACATGCTCTACGCCTGATCAAGCAGAGCCTCCCTTCCCCCTGCTGCAGTGCCTTGTGTTAAATCACATTTCTCTCTGTGCTATTTTTGCATCAATTCTCTTTCCCTTGGGCAGAGTTCAAGGGATTCTTGAAACGCTTCTGCTCTGCTTCCTCCCGTGTGGTCCTCAACAGGTCTTGTTCCGGTTTCCCACCTTGCAGGCTGGTCACTCCAGTTGGGATCACTGCTATTGCCTGATAAATGTGACCATTTCCAGGCTCCTCCATGGGAAGAGGAACAAATGTGAAAACGGAAACCATGGGAAACGAGGAAGGAATTCTCACAGTAAGTAACGCATTGCTATGCTCAGTTTCTTGCAATCTCTTTCATCACCTGCTCAAACAGTGCCATTGACCAGAGGCTTTTCTGACCTTAACACAAAGAGGTGTTTACTTTTCTGACAGTCACACTTTGAAGGCACATTTCGGAACCTTTTTTGTACTTCTGGCCTGTGCCTTTGCCTTGTGTGGTGCAGGCAGAGGCAGGCAGGTCTGCCAGACACTCAGCTCTCTGCCAGAAACACCTTGAGAGGACAAGCTGCCAGATATCGGGATACAGGATGCTCCTAGAGACAACCACTGCTCACCATGCTCTCAAAACCACATGGTTTATAGACATGTGGACCTGCTAAGTGAGTCCAGAGGAGGCCACAGAGCTGCTGTGAGGGCTGGAGCAGCTCTGCTCTGGAGCCAGGCTGAGAGAGCTGGGCTGGGGCAGCCTGGAGAAGAGAAGGATCCTGAAGGGGAGACCTGAGAGCAGCTCCAGTGCCTAAAGGGGCTGCAGGAAACCTGGAGAGGGGCTTGGGACAAGGGATGTAGGGACAGGCCAAGGGGAATGGCTTTAACCTGCCAGAGGGGAGACTGAGATGAGCTCTTAGGCAGAAGCTCTTCCCTGTGAGGGTGCTGAGGCGCTGGCACAGGGTGCCCAGAGAAGCTGTGGCTGCCCCATCCCTGGCAGTGTTCAAGGCCAGGTTGGATACAGGGGCTTGGAGCAAGCTGCTTCAGTGGAAGGGGTCCCTGCCTGTGGCAGGGGCTGGAGCTGGAGGAACTTTAAGCTCCCTTTAACACACACCGTTCTATGATCCTATGAAATAGCACAACCCAGAAAATGTAATAAAATCTTGAGATTATAAAAAAAACTTTGGAATTCCACAGAAATATAACTAAAAAAAATGCTGAAAGAATATTCAGCTCCACCAATCTGTGAGGAAAAGAAGTGCAAGGGAAATGCTAACTCAAAAAGATCTGTTTCAAAGATTCCCTACAGAGATCATAAATCCCTTTTCCATACCAAAAGACAACATGGAGCCAGTCTAGGCTATAAGGATGCTCTGCAAATGGGGCATGAAACCAGTTTCAAGAGCTGACTTGCAGTTTTAGCTGAAATGGGAAGGGGGAATGGCCTCGGTGCCAGAGCTGCCGCAATGATTCAAGAGGGGCTGGCTCTGAACTATGGTGGCACTAATTGAAACGGAACGGAGAGCTTTTCATGTGGGATATGAGGAGAAAAGAACCAGCAGCTGCAGTCCCTGCATTTCTTTAAGTTCTTGCCCCTCAAACCCAATATTACTGCACAGAGGCCGTGCTCACATTCTGCTTAATTTCCTTCTCATTTATTAGTAGTGCTTCACCTCGCAGCCAAGCTGTGAGCAATTTGCTGTCCATAAGTTCCGTGTGACCCAGAGACCTTAAAGCTCTCCTGATACTCCAATAGAGATAATTCGCTCTGACCCTTCCGCAGCACAGTTCCTCCTTCTCTTCCATGTGTGTCTTTTGCAAGGCTCACTGCCCGGGCATACAGCAGTGCCCTTCAAGCTGCTTCTGACTTAATAGCATAAAATTGCTTAATAACATCTATATTCCACACAGGAACTGGGTATTGCTCAGCAAATGTGCTCCCACTGAGCCAGTGGGGAAGACACGCTCTCTCTGCTTTCACAACCAGGCTTTCAAACATCACATACACAGTGACCCCTGAACGTCAATGATTTATCCAGATGTGCTCTACCAAACCTAGCATCTCTTTTGCATTTTTACAGTGTAAAGAAGCCTGTAGAGTTGGTGGTTTATTTTGTTAAAAGGAAGTGTCTACCCCCCCAGAAGTGCTTATAAACACTTTAAGTGCTTTTTTTCTTTTATTTAGGATGCTCAGGGGCTGGAGCACCTCCTGTATGGGGACAGGCTGAGAACACTGGGGCTGTTCAGCCTGGAGAAGAGAAACTGCGTGGAGGCCTCAGAGCAGCTTCCAGTGTCTGAAGGGGGCTACAAGGATGCTGGAGAGGGACTCTTCATCAGGGACTGGAGCGTTAGAACAAGGGGTGATGGGTTCAAACTGAAATAGGGGAAGTTTGGGTTGGAGATAAGGCAGAAGCTCTTCCCTGTGAGGGTGCTGAGGCGCTGGCACAGGGTGCCCAGAGAAGCTGTGGCTGCCCCATCCCTGGCAGTGTTCAAGGCCAGGTTGGACACAGGGGCTTGGAGCAAGCTGCTCCAGTGGAAGGTGCCCCTGCCTGTGGCAGAGGTTGGAGCTGCATGAGCTTTAAGGTCCTTTCCCACCCAAACCATCCTTATGATTAACCATTTCTGAAGAAATATTATACAGTGAAATGCAAGATGAGATCAGTACACGTGGGGTGAACTGCACCCTGTTGTAAGCTGTTTGGTGAGTGAGGGGCTGCATTACACAGCAGTGATTGCTGTTTGTAAGCTGCTATTGAAGAAAACAGTTTTGTTCTTTCAGAACAAAACAGTCAGAAGATATTCAAGGAGAACCTTAAAAATGAAGAAGAATAAAATACTGAGGGGCAGAGGGGGGAAGCCACAAGGTGGAAGTGCTCCATGCTTCGGTTCCCAAGAATATACTGTCTGTACATAAATCCAACTGCATACCACTAAAAGAAAGGCAGTTTTCTGCCACAGTCTCAGCTACACTTTGCCTTAGCACTAATAACCCTGTGGCTCAAAGTTAACATATCTTCACATTTTCTGTGGGATCAGTCCCCTCATCTGGTTTATCAAATGGCTACTCCATGTGTAGTGCTGGTGCAAGGATGGGGAGTTGGCAGAGAGCACAGGATAACTCTTTGGGCAATGGCACATTTTGCAGATAGGCTTAAGTCAAACATGAAACTACACTCGGATTCCCTCTCCCACCTTTCAAGTACATGGAGAATGAGGTTAACCAGTCTGGGAGAAAAAAACATATCAATCTAAACCTAAAAACATAACTTTACTGTGTCATACACTTATAGGAGATACCATGGGATCGTTCGGTAACAAAGGTTAAGCCAAATCTTGTATTCTTGCCCATAGTTACTACCACAATGATTTATCCTGGGCCATGAGCTGTGTTTGCTGACATACTACTAAAAAAGCAGCAAAAACTCCACAAAGCACTGAGAAGGGAAAGATGGTTTTCTCTTGAAACAGTAATTGTCTCTAAATGCATCCAGCCAGCCAACAATTCCAGAGTCAGTTAAACCAATACAGGAGTACCTGAACTTATAGTACATGCCCTGTTTTATTTGGTTTACCCCTAATCTAGTTGAAGATGTCCCTGCTCACTGCAGGGGGGTTGAACTGAATGAGTTTTGTTCCAAACTGTTCTATGATTCTGTGCTTCTATCCTGAAGGTTTTATGTGGTGTCATTTATAAGAGATGGACCTAAAGTAACAAGGCTCTGCAAGAGGTTTCCCACCTTATTCCTATCCCTCTTTCCCTTCTGAAATCACAGGTTTGTGGATGTAATTAAGTAGCACGTGGTGTTGTACCTCCATGCTTAGGATACCCATAATTTAACATCTATGAAATCTCATTCCTACACTGCTGTTAGGCCTGTGACTATCCAAAGTGGGATTAATAAGGAAACCTAATCCAGTTATGCAATGCAGCCTGCGTTGCCAAGAGATGCTGTTTTAACAGAGACTATCCCAGGCTCTGTGCAGTCTGGACCTTCTGGAGCAACATCCCTGTTGCCAACCACAGGAGAATCCTGCAGGGACTCTATAAGAAGACAAAACCTGTACTTACGTATGTCCAGACATAGAGACCACCCCAAGAGAATGTTTAACCCCACAGAAGTTATCCAGCAAGGAAAAAGTATGGGGCAGGAAAGCAAAGGAGCATAATTACAGGCAAGCATCTTTTCAGTAAAGCTTGAATGTTTTTAATCCTATCTCTTGCTTCTGTCCTGCTGCTACCAACTTCACAGGTTGTTAAAAGAGATCAGTGAGATATGTCAGAGCATCATTATTTGCACTGTAATGATAAATATTCTCCAATCATCTTACAGTTGTACAGGTTTTTAACAAAGGGGCAACCAACTGCTGAAAGAACCATTCAACTTCATCAGAACCAGTTTTCCCCACAGGACTTTTCCATTTAGAAGCAGTAGGTCAAATGGAAAGACAATTCTTGTCACACTTCACAAGGATGACTACAGAAAGGAGATTTCTCTTTGGATAATGAGAACATGACAAAGGCCTTTTACTCAACGGGAAAAAGGTTTATTTCTTACCTGCTACAGAATTTGGCCGTGGCATCAGGTAAAGAGGAATTGACTGCACTGACTGGGACAAGACTGTCTCCAGGTTCCTCTCTGGGATTTTGTTGAGGCTGTAGGTGGAGGCTGTCATGTTCTCATCCACGCGGTATAAGCACGAATCCATGCTGGATTTCTGGGACTGCCAAGGTTTCAGGTTTCCTCCAGATCCAAGTTCTTTACTGCTTTCCCCTCCATATTTAGTGCGTTCCACATTTTCTGAGTAGCTTGTCAAAGTAGCTTGAAGGAAAAAACGAGAAACACAATGAGTAACAAAGAACGGTTTGCACACACACTGCTCTGTGCTGAGTAGAGCCAAACCTCGTGTTCATCAGGTTTTCCACATTCACATAAATCAAAGGTTATGGAACTGGATTTATTGATACAAGTCCTGTTTAGTGCTTCTCAAAGAACATTTAGACTATAACTTTTTGGCTCCCACTGTTAGAAACCATTTGTAATTACAAAAGAGTATTAAAAATCAAGTGTGGCAGCGTTTTCGAAGACACGATGCCAGAAAAGCAGGAATTGTTAAGGAAAAACCATTATCATGCTCCTCATCTCTTTTAATTTGCATCAGTTACCACCTTTACAAAGATGTCTGCAGCAGTTTATAACCTGGCAGTGTCTGACACCAAACACAGAGAGCTCCCACCTGACCCGCATGAACAACCAGCTCTTGTGGATCAGTTTGGTTCAGAAACTGAGCCCAACATCCCATTTGATTTACATCAGGTTTTTATGAAGCTTTAACTGGAATCCACACATCTTCCCTTCTATCATTTCATTTTACAGATCAGGATTGTTGCTGTATTGACTTTCACATTGGGAAGCGACAGTACAATACTGACCCACACAACTAACATCTCTGCTGCTGTCTTCTCGGTTCTGACAGTTATCCACTGGCTGCAACTCCCTTTGGGCTGTTGACCTTCCTTTCTCTTTACAGTCTCCTACATAATCCTTCAAGACCATAATCCAACCATTCAGTCACTGTGAGAAGATCCCAAGCCCACCCCAGCTCATGTAAGCGTGTCAAACTTGGCTCCTCCCCACCTGGGAGATCACAAACCAGAGCTCACTATATCCTTGCCTTGCCTCGCCCCACTGCTATTCAACCCCCTGAAATTCAACTTAACCCCCTGAAATCCATCATTTTCACTGAGTTGTGGTAAATACCTTCTCCAGCCCAAATTCTCTGCTCATTTCTATGCCATTTGTCCCTGGACCCACCACTCCTCATCTGCAGCACAAACCATTTGGTGATGTTTCCTTGGGGCCTTCACCGAAGTCCATTCCTAAACCAAGGGCGATGCTCCCTCATTAACCAACAGCACCACATTGATTTTTATATTGATGAACACAAAGAGGGAATTACTCTGAAGACTCACATGCTTGCAGGCTCAAGCTTTACAGGTAAGCAGCCTAGAAAAGCCAGGAGCACCTGGTAGTTGATGATGCAGTTGAAGTACAAATGGGTAAAGCAGAGAAGTACGTATTCCAGCTCTTTACATGTTGAGTAGAGGAATCATTTCATTGCCCAACATTAAGCATCTGATGTAAATCCTCAGGAATACCCATACAGAGCTGACAAATACGAAGGTGATGACAGCTACTGCTGGACTCTCAGTGCTAAACCATGACCTTCAATGACCAAGGACTGAAGTAGCTTAATTACACATGATGAATGCCATTATAAGAAGAACCAGAATTAAATGCTTACATCTAGCCTCACAAAATCATCATTAAAACCCAAAATTAACACCTTTAATTTTCACTGTGCCTCTTCTTTATCCGTTCCAACAAGTGCCATGCACCTCCAACCTTTACCCCTGTTTGTAGTTTTATTTCTCAGTATTGGGTTTCCTCTCTCTGCAGTGGGATCAATGTCTTCATCTCTCATTAAGCATCCCCAAATTTAGTTGTCTGTAACGTATTTGGAAACTTAAACCCAACACATGCAACTGCTAAGAACTGGTATTTGTTTGTTGGCATTGAAACATAAGCTTGCTGTTAGGTAAATGCATTTACACTTTAGCATAGGGAAAGCAGACCAAAACAAGGAACAGATGTTCACAGATCCCTCCTGCTCCCTCAAATGGTTTAATATTGAGAAAGAGCTTTGGAATGGTTTTGTAGAAAAGCTCCATTTCAATGAGTCGGCGGAGCCAGGCTCACTACACATCTATTTACAGACAAAAATCAATCCATTGATCCATTAAAATCCATTCATTTCAAACCCCTCTCTCAGGATCTAATTAATCTCTGTAGACACACATCAGCAGCTGAACTCATACATCAAACTGAGGAAAACCAAAATAACTTCGTGTCAACGTGAGTTTCCTCTAAATGAAGCAACAGAAAAGGAAAAAGGAGCTACTGCTGCTGGCCCCTTCTCTAATCCTCACTTGGTGTTCACTTTAAACTTCGTTTTCACTGTTTCATGCTAAAGCTGGTTTATGTGCAAACTCTTCAGTCAATCAGGTATTTAGGATTGTTCCCTGTGGCTTAATTTACCTTTAGAACAGCCCTGGATGATACAAGCGGTGCTCCATGGGCTTAATCTCATCTATGAGCTATTTCAACCCAAACCAAATTTGACTTCATTGAAAAGGCGAAAGCGTGAAGGTTCGCTACGAGCCAGGAACACGAACCAACAACGCTGAGCACGTCTCCTGGGGGAAGCTAAGCTTCCCAAGAGCTCAACCCAGAGAGCTGCTTGCAAACCACAGCTTCACAGTCCTGAGTTAGGAAACCAGCAGCTCATGTCAGGAAATTCACACTACCTGCACCTCCCAAGCCTGGGGCAGGGTGATACACGGGGGTAGGGAGCTGGGAATGCAAAGAGGGTAGAGATACAAGGCAAGGGCAAAAATTTGGTGAGGCCTGGAGTGGTCGGGCAGTTGGACTGCATTGTTGTAGGTCCCTTACCACTGAAAATGCTCTGTTCTATTCCATATTCTATATTCCATATTCTCCATTCCAGTCTCTAGTCTGTTCTACTCTACACCATTCCTTTCCACTCTATTGCTTGGGTAGACAGAACTTCACGTCAGTCCCCGGTGGAACGAAGCCCATGAACACACACAACCAGAAGCAAACCTGAAAAAATACCATTATTTCTGCAAGTTTGCCATATTCATACCCTAAACGTTGCAGCAGTGCAGAGGGTATTCCAGGACACGCAGTCTGGGTGTGTGAGAACACCTCCCCATCATGCATTGGCCCTGCAGGGGATTAACTGAGCTTTCAGCAATAATCTCTGCAGGGGGATGCATGGGGAATGGAGACCGACCCTGAGGATGGATCCTGCTGCAGTCACACCAGGATCCTGTTGCCTCATTAATGCACCTAAACCATATCTACATGTTAATAATATTCTGGGCCTTAATCCAGATGCAGAGAAGCCAATTGAAATGAGGAACAGCAGCTACCAACTAACATGACAACACCGCTGCCTGTATGCCTATTGTTAGGCACATCTTTGCATACAGGAGAGCATCAGAATATCAGGTTCTATTAAAGACTGACCTTCAAGTGAAGATTCTTTCAGCTATTACAACTCTGGGGTTATACTGAACAACTAAACCACAAAACAAGTATTTTGTGCTCCTACTTTGAGATCTTTTTGCTCTGTAATTCATAACTGTGACTCTGGCTAACCCAGTTGATGGCCTGTGGAAAGGAGGTCCTGATGGTGAGAAATCCCAACAGACCCCACTCACACGTTATGTTGTTAAAATGGTGTCAAAAGAAGGGCTGCAGGAGCACACATGGACTCAGCTTAAGTGGTATCTGAGGTTTTCATCACTGTAACATCTCGGCTTACAGGGCACATTCAGGGGGTTGCAGGGTAAGGGGGGCACAGCCTCAGGAGAAGGAGAGACCCTGCTCCTGGGCTCACAGCATCCCTGCCATTGCTAACTTGAAAACAGCAAGGCAAAAATTCCTGCTCTTTGATGGATTTGAGGCCATCAGTTTATCCTTCCCGAATTCAGAGCATGCTGTCTATTCAGAGGTTAAATCACAGAAGGATTTAGGTTGGAAAGGACCTTAAAGCTGCTCCAGCTCCAACCCCTGCCACAGGCAGGGACACCTTCCACTGGAGCAGCTTGCTCCAAGCCCCTGTGTCCAACCTGGCCTTGAGCACTGCCAGGGATGGGGCAGCCACAGCTTCTTTGGGCTCCCTGTGCCAGCGCCTCAGCACCCTCACAGGGAAGAGCTGCCTACCTGTACCAGTGCAGCAGCTCACCCAAGACACCCCCTGCATTTCCCTGCAGTCAGTACTACACCTCCCAGAGATTCATGTACTTACAGGATAGCAAACGCTATTTCTCATTTAGCTGCATGCTGGCTATGCCCTGGGGCACGAGGCTTTCAGCTGTACTTGTCTTGAATCAAACACAGAAAGGGAATTTTACCATCCCATCCAATTCTCCTTGAGGCAGAGATCATGCCTTGAAAACGTCACCCTTCACGTTCACCTTTCATATGGAATTGCAGGAGAAAGTAGTTTTCTGTAGTTACTGCTTTATGCAGACCAACAGCTGTAACATTAATTCTATGTAAAGATTTATAATGTCCTAAGTAGGAAATGGAGATTTATTGCCTTAAAGAAGTACCTGCAGCAAAGGAGCGAGCTTCACATGGTGCAGAGCCAAGAGGTACTAAACCCACTCCTGCACGCTCTGCCAGTTCACGTCATTCCCCTCCAGTAACACACTCCACTATCGCACTGGAGATGTCCTAGCTGACATGGACGAGTTGGCAAGGAGTGAGATACATTCTTTACCCTCCTCTACATAAGCTTTCCCAAACTCATCCACAGAAGGATACACCTAAATATAGCCGTGTCACCCCAGAGCGCTCCAGGGAGCCTGGCTGCCAAGGAGAGCAACTTGGCAGGCACAAAGCATAAGCCCAGAGCTCTCCCAAGGGAAGGGAGCAGCTTCGGGCTGTCACGTGCAAGGCAAGTCCTGACAGCCCCAAGCACTCGGTGTGTTGAGAAGAGCATCATTCTCTGCTGGACACCACCGGTGAGTTTAAAGGGGAAATAAAACTCTGAACCTTTAAGTCTTGCCCTGCTCGAGGTCAAAACCCACACTGCTCTTCACAGGTTTAACTTCTTCAAGCACTGATCTCAAATGGGAAAGGGGAAAATAAAGATCACTGCTTAATTAAAGTAACAAAAGGATTCAACAGGTAAACCCATTTCTGCCTCGAGGCATTCTAAGTCATGG